AGAGTGTAGCCTAGAGTGTTACAGCCTCCAGAACTGTGGCTGTGCTGGAAGCCAAGTTTTCCTCTTTACCGTCTCCACGGCGTATTAATGGCCCAACTGGTAGAACTATTTTGAGTTGCAGACAGCTTGATTTATCCCAGCTCTGTTCTTAAATGGTTGCTAATTTCTCACTGCAAGAAAATTCACAGTTTTTCAGTGAGTCAGCTTAATAACAAGATCAGGGCAGACAGTCTAGCTCATACTAAACTCACTTCAGGTGCTTAATATCAATACCGTAACGCTCTAAATCCTGGGGTTTTATCATGTGGTAGAGTGAAACATTTTCAGACTAGAAGTTGAGACAACAACTAGCATATAACAGATGTTTGGGAAAGGTCGCGGCCGTGCTGCTGTGTACCGTGTCCCCCCCTCACTGCAGTTACGCAGTGAATGCCCACACCCAGACGTTTCAGGGCCCTTGGCGGTACGGCCCCAGCAGAGCTCGGGGCCTCTGACCTCCCGACTCTCATACCCTGATGGCTGGTGTGAGTCTGTTTTGGTGAGTGGACCTACTCTACTGGATGAGCTGTTTTTCCCTAATCTGTTTTCTGTTTTTATAGCCAGAGTGGAGATGGCTGGGAGGCTACAGTGTGTCTGTATCTGCTCTGTGTCTGTGCCACTGTCCTGGGGTCAGTGGCCTTGGGGGATGTAGGCTGCCAGAGCATGTGGCTGAAGGAGGAGGTCCTCCCCTTCCAGAGAGGACAGTAACTTCGCTCTGTCCTAGGGAGCACATGTGCCTCCCATTTCCTGCCTGAGTCATCTCGCTGTCCCGCCCCAGTCACTGACTGGCAAGTGGGCCCAGCACACTGCCCATGGGGGTGGAGCCTCCTGCATTGGCTGTGTTGAGCACCTGCCACCCTCTGAGCTGAAGTGCGCCCAGTGATTTCCTTCAACATGCTGCTCCTGGACGGTGCTGGCACATGTATTTTTATGTCTTGCCTGTGCTTGTGTGCACTGTATGTTTCTATGGAGTTTATAAAAGTTAGTTTCTCCTAAAACTCAATGCACTTTTAATCAGGTAATTTCTGTGTAGGTACAAACGTGGCTGGAAAGATGGCTGGCCACTGGGTTTATTTATTAGTGTAGCAGGGACTTGAGGCAGAGTCCATTTTGAGCCTGGTCTTTGACTCAGAGCCCAGCGAAGGCTCATCTGAGGCGAGTTGATATTTCACAGGCTGGCAGCATTATACATTGATGACTAGACAGCTTGTCATCCTGGGCCGCAGAAGTAACAACTGTTTTTAAGGTTTGGCCAGACTTCATATTCTCCATTCTTTCCATCCCATGTTATATGGAATGCACACAATGCCACTTAATTACTTCAGTCCCTTTCTTAAAGGAGAAAGACACCGGACCAACAATCCAGAGGTGCTAGTAGTTTGAACTTTAAATTACTCAGTAATTTTATTTGCAGACTTAGTAGCTATAAAGATCTCTCTTGTATTTTTGCAGTATTAATTAATTTCAAGTGCAGTTTTGACAGGCCAGCCAAGGGTCTCAACAGGCTGCATATAATGAGTGATATTTTTAAGGCCATCACCTCAGTGACACTTTTTCCAAATCAAAAAATTCAGCAGGATCCAGCCTTTTGTTTGGACTGTATACTCAGTAAAACGCTCCACTTTTGGGGGAGTGCCAGCTGCTCTTGCTCACAAAATAAGTCCATGTGTGCTTATTACTGTGCTTATTAAGCAGACTCGGGAACATAAGTATTCTAGTTTTTGCCACTGTTCATTGTGGACTGGGAAAGAGGCAGTCAAGTCATCCTCTTGAGGAAGGTGGCCAGTGGAAGTGTGGACACACAGGGTTTCTCACGGGTTGTGGCCCTTGGTGGGAGTGCTGTGATGTCTGGTGCTACTTGGCCCAGTAGCTGCTGGCCATATGTGGCTGCTAAGCAACTTGAAAAGTGGCCGGTCCAAGTTGCAATAAGCTGTAAGTACAACATTCACACCAGCTTGCTAGGGCTTCATGTAAAAAAAGCATAAAACACCTCATTAATAACTGTTTATATTGATCTCATGTTGAAATGATAATATTTTGGTTTGATTGGGTTAAATTAAATATATTATTAAAATTAATTATACTTATCATTTTTTACTTTTAAAAATGTGAGCATTGGAAATTCTAGAATTACAAGTGTGGCTCTCCTTGTCCTGGACAGCCTGCTGTCTATGCGCAGGCTCTACAAGCCAGTACAGGTCCTGGGGCCTCCTTGGGTGTGTGAATGGCCTTGATCCCTGGTGAGGCCCATTTTTCAAGAGACGTATGCGATTTCATTCAGTGTCCTGGTCATGTGACATCTGTCGTCCATGCAATGGTCATGTCAAGGCCACACTGGGAGCTGGACCCCAGGCGCTCAGGGACTCGGCAAGTCACCCACCCCTCTTGGCCTCATTTGTGGAACAGAGTCAGTTTGAAGATTAGCAGAGAACAGTCAGGGCGTGTTAACTGGGCGAGGAGGAAACAGAAAATGAAACCATGTGTCTGTACCTTAATCCCCAGCTGTACTTTTCTGTGAGAGTGTGCACACTGAGGTGGCAGAAAGCAGATGGAAGGCGCCATGACCTGGCCAGCAGGCCTGCCTGACAAGGCCTGGCGCTGCAGTGAGAGCTGCCGCAGGGCCTGTGCGGCCCAGTAGCTCCTCGCAGAGAGCCCTCCTCACGTGTGCACACAGGTGTAGGCGTGAGGCAAAGGTGGGCCTCCCAGGGCATTCTGTGTGAGTTCCTGGTGGATGGCCTTACTGTCACACCACGAAGGGAGGTGAATTAGGAGGGTAGCTGACCAGAGAGGATGGCGCAGAAGGACTGCCTGGCTGTGTGGCGAGTGGACACTTTGTGGTGCTGTCTGGGCCTCGGCCACATGAGGTCATAGAAGTGAGAAAAGGAAGGGACCTCCTGTATTAGGTCATCCAGCCGTCCCCTCCAGAGCTGACTGACCCCACAGTGTACTTTCCACAGCTCCGTCCAGTTTTTCAAGTGACTCAACTGATGGAGTTTCCACCAGCTCCCAGAGGGTGCAGAAAGGTGGTGTCTGAGACTGACTTGGATCAGGATTTATTCTTCCGTCTCTTGACGAAGATCCCAGGGATGATGCCGTGTTTGCAGAGGGATGTGGGGTAAGTCCTGCCGGTCACTGACTTGATAGTGACTGCAGGTGACCTCAGCTCTCCTCCTCTCTGCGTCCCCTCCACACAGGGGGCTGCAATGCTGGGCCCCTTCGGTCTGAGCGTTCTGAGACTTGGCGGTGGCACCTTACGTAGCACTTTATAGTTTTCACAGCTTGTTCACATTTGTGATCTCACTCAAGCCTCCCCATTCCTGGGGAAACAGTTGATCTCGTGATCCTCCTGGCCCCCTCCCTGCCTTTATCCAGTTTCTTGTTAATCAGACAAAGCAGCCATCACAGGCGGTGGCTGGTGGGCCAGGTGTTCAGGCCCTCCTTTGGCTTCGTTTGACAGCACGAGTCCTGTTGTGCCTTCTGAGACACCACACAGGGTGCAGTTCACTCTCCTTGAGGTGTGGCCTCCTTTCCAGGCAGTGGCACTGCTCAGGATCGTCCCAGGCCACCTGTGAAAGCCAGAGCTCCTGCCTGTGTCCCCTGGTGGGTCCTGGGGACGCTCTCAGCGCAGCGCATGGTGTGTTGCCAGTAGATCAGACTCAGGTCCTCTGAGGAGTCTCCCAGCTGTTCTGCGCTGACCTTCCCCCCATGCGACAGAGGGCTTTGTGCAGATCTGCAGGCGGTTGATTGCCAGGAGTGCATAACGGGCGCTGAGAGCTCCTCTTGATGATGCAGATTCTGCAGGCCTTTTCTCGACCTGACCAGTGGTCTGAAACTTTCCCTGAAAGAGGCACTAACACTTACTGCAAGTAGCCAGTCATTAAGATTGCTCTGAAAGTCATTCCTTTTTGTTGTCAGCCTGAGGATATTAAATTTTTAAACCCAGGCTCAGTAAGTTTGTGGTTAAAGTACATTTTACCATGCAATTAGCCTCCATAGAATTGTAATAAAACAGCTGCTCTTAGGAGTTTTTGAAACGATATGGAGTATGACCTGAGTCACAAGTCGGGGCCTGCCATCCAGCCTGGCTGGCTTCCTTGGTTTGGCCTTACTGCAGCAGTCTTCCACCCTGCGGGAGCCGTGCCCCTCTGTGGTGTCGCTGTGGTTTGTCGCACCCTGTGCCCTCCACATGTCCACGCCTGGAGCCCCTGGGCCTGGCAGGTAGGGCTGTCTCCTAGCATCTCTCAGTGGGCCATGGGCTGGATTGTGGAACTGCCCATCACCTTGGATTTTACTGCTGTGTTTTGTCCTACCTTTCATATTTGCATGTGAAATATTTCAAACATATAGACAAGAAAAGGGTTTCACTTTCTCCTTTTAACTCTTGTTTTTCCAGCATCAGTCTGCAGTGAGGTACTTGGGTGCAGACAGGTAATGAAAATAATTGGGTGAGAGCGAGAACTCAGATCCCCAGTTCTGCCTGTGCCAGCTGGCCAGCTGCTGCCTGCAGGACTCCCACAGAAATGTGGGGAGATCCCAGCAAGGCTGTTGGTGACACAGAGCAAACTGCGGGAACCCCACACGAATGTGGGGTGATCCAAGCAAGGCTGTTGGTAACACAGAGCAAACTTCAGGCTGCGACAGCAGAACCCCAGAGGCACATCTCCTGGGCTGCATGCTTATTCCCTGCCCGTGGCCTGCAGCACAGCTGCAGGTCGAAGGCGTCATCTTCCACCAGCTCTACCCGCTCCAGACAGCTCCAGGAAGTGGCGGAACCGAGGCCCAAACCCAGGGCCAAAGCTTCTGGCTCTGGCTCTGTGCCCCATCATGAGGACAGAGCATTCACCATCCCCGTTGACTCACAAGATTTCTTAAGTATTGTAAAAATGATGGAAAGAAATATTCGCTGTTTTTGAGAGTTTAAGAAAAGGAAACCCCTCCTGTCATTTGTGCTTTTTTGGCAGATCCTGAGAAAGCTGAAGGGTCTTGCCTTGGATGCCGAGACAGAGCTGGAGAGACAGGACGAGGCCCTGGATGGCATCGCCACGGCCGTGGACCGGACAACCTTAACCATCGACAAGCATAATCGACGAATGAAAAAACTGACCTAGGAGGACAGGAAAGCGCAGAGCCGACTGCTTTGACAATAATCACTCCCCTGAGTACGTTGTTCTCAACCCCTGCATGCTTCCTTGAGATGGAGACCCCGGGGAGTCATTCCAAGGGCTGGAAAAAGTGCTTGAGGCCTCCCAGGAGGTGTACCATGGCCTCTGGATGAAGGGCTGCTGCGAGGGAGTGCAGCTCAGGTGGTGTGGCTGCCCCCAGGCACCCCTGCAGGAGCTCCGCCTGCAAATCCTCGCACACTTCTCCCAGGGCCTCTCAGGCCGCCTGGGAAAGTCCTGCCTGGGAAAGTCGGGAGCAGGCGCCTTCAGACGCAGGTGCCCTGTCAGGCCTCCACGGTGGCGGCTCTTTGTTTAGAGGGCAGCTGCACCATGCCCCTGTCCTGCTTTGCCTGGTGTATCCCACCTGCCACCCTCACCTCGAGCTGGTTTTAGACTAAACCAGCATCTCTGTGGAGGAAACCTGCTTGCTCCCGGCTCCGCCTGTCTGAGCACCGCGGGTGTGTCCTGTGTCCCGGCAGCCGCTTCTCCAGGGCCATGGTCCAGCCTGGGCGCTGCCTCGGGGCTGCGCAGCACAGACCACTGCCATCGCTTTGCACCAGTCTCTCTGGTGAGCAGGCCAGTTTCTTTCTGGTTTGTTGTCATTTTCTGACTGAAGCTAGGAGTCTCATCCACCTCAAGGTCATCTACAAACACTGGAGACACTCCTTCACTGCCCGGTCCTTAGCCAAACGTGCAAACAGTACATACTGCACCTATTAAAGTGTTGGTTTTTGCTTTTACTGAGAAATGCTAGTTTCAGGATATTTTTTGAAGATACGCATGAATGCTGCCTGTTGCTTGGCTTTGGGTGTTTGGTGGGTCCCTGGAGGGCCCTTCCGGGGAGAACGTGGGGAAGGTGAAGAAGTGGGCAACGCCATCCCTCTCACAGCAGGCTGCCCCAGACCGCTCTGTGCGCAGAGGCCGGCTCAGCCCTGGTGGCGGCATTGGAAGCCCCTTCCCTCAGCCCTCCTGACCCACCCGCAGGCCCCATGCTGCCCGCAGGCCCTCTGCATGGGCGCTGAGTCTCCTCTGGTGTTCAGAGTGCGTGCACAGGGCAGGGCTAGTTTTCTGGGGCTGCCCTCACGCAGCACACAGATGGAGCTACAACAGTGGGAACATGCTCCCTCCCTGGGCTGGGAGCCAGAGGGCCAAGATGAAGGGGTCACAGGGCTGCACTCCCTCCGGAGGCTCCAGGGGAGGGTTCTTCCTGCCTCTCCCAGCTCCTGGTGCCCCTGGACTCCGGGGCTTGTGGCCCTGTCACCACAATCTCTGCCTCTCTGTCATCGCGTGGCCCTCTCCCCATGTCTCTTGTTGTAAATCTCCCTCTCCTTTCTCTGATAAGGACCCTTGTCATTGGACTCAGGCCCACCCTAATCCAGGGTCACCTCGTCTCAAGATCCTTAATGACATCGGCAAAGACCCCATTTCCAAATAATGTCACATTCTGAGGTTCAGGGTGGGTGTGAATTTTGGGTCACTAGGGATGCCCAGCCTTCTGGAAGCTGACCTGTTCCAAGAAGACATGGGAACCTTCACGAGGCTCTTCCAGTTCTTTCTTTGTCTTAATGTGGTAAATTATGTTCCTAGCCTCTATTTGTCTTGTTTGGTTTGTACTTACCAGCCTCCAAAGTGAGAAGTGGGCCTGTCCTCTCCAGGTCCCTTGCTCTGACCTCTGATGCAGGCATGCAGGCAGTTGCTCCTGACCTTTCCTGGCACACTGTGATGGATCTTAGGGCTGTCCATTGGTGTCTGAGCCCCGTCCAGCCCCTTGCCCTTATGCTTGATGCTTGGGAGGGGGCAGGGAGGGCATCACAGACGTGCAGATATGTCAACAGGGACAGTTAATTGACAGCTCATGCTGTGCCCAGAGGTGGCTGCCGCTGGACTGTGTCCTCATGGCCCTTGGAGCGACACTGGAGGGAAGGAAGTTGGTGCCCTGAGCACAGGGTGAGTACAGGGGGACAGGCCGTGCCCAGACGCCACAGCTGCTGATGAGAACCCATGAGGTTCTCACCCTCGTCCACACGCTGGACACACACCAGGGACTCAGAAAATACACAAGCACTCACGCACACTGGCCCCCAGCCCCTCAGTAGGAATCTCTGTGGAGTTACACGCTCCCCAAGTGTTTCTGATGAGCAGGCAGGGCGAGCGCCACAGGACTTCCTGCCAGCAGACCTGCCCTCTCTCCCCTCAGGCTCTGGAGAGCCCTGAGCCATGAAAGGGAAGCACACCTGCCCCTACTTTGATGCTGATATGAATCCCAGGAGGGCTCAGGAGTTCCCAGCTCAGCCTCCAGCAGCCGCCAGCCTCTGCTTGCCCTGAGAAGTCCCACGTGGTGCCTGCCTGGCATCAGGGCTGCACACTGGCTGTGGAGGTTTCTCTGCTGGGGACCCTGGCTGTGAATGAACCCTGAGCTCTCCTGCCTCCCTCTCCTTTTCTCACACCTGGGAATGTCTAACATCAGACACTCTGGGCGAGAAAGACATTGTCCTGTTAGACGATTATCCTCCAGGCCTTTCTCTCTCACAGGTACTTAAATCGACAGACACTGTGCTCCGTTTATGTGGAGACATACAAAGAGTGGGAAGAAAGCCATCTAGGGCCATTTGATGTAATTTTTTTAACCTTAGCCTCAGAGTTAACATTTTTGAACAAGGCCCCTCCAGTAGCAGAAAATCCCTCTACAAAATGGAGTGGGAGACTGGAGCCCAAAGCACAACGCCTTCCTCTTTAAACCAACAGTGGTCCCCAAGGTTGAGATGAAACTGCCAAGATTCCTATAAAACCAGGAGCCAATTGCCATAACCCAGTGCCCCACCGCAAGTGTGCCCACTCCACCCCACGGCCCCACCCTGAGTGTGCCGACTCCACCCCCATGGCCCCACCCCCAGTGCATTCACTCCACCCCCCACTGCCTCGCCCTCAGTGCACTCACTCCACCCCTACTGTTCGCCCATTTCTCATGCACTGGCTTTCTCTCCACATTTTGGACCCAGGGGAATGACATGAGAGGAAGTGGACATTGAGAAGCTTCTAGAAGCCAGACCAGGAATGAGATGAGCAGGTAGGCTGATGGTCTCCTGCTATCCTCAGCAGCCCAGGTCATAGTGTGATGACTGGATCCAAGTGGGTCTCACCGGTGAGTTGGCTCTGGGCAGTGGCTGGGGGGCTGCACTGAGCCGGCTGTCATCCCCGTTGTTAGCTGTTTGGATCTCTTCTCACTGTCCTGACTGACGCTTTACTCTGATGTGGGTGTTTGGCCCATGTGTGGAGTCGAGGGCAGCCATGTGCTTTGTTCCTGAACCAAAATCTGTTTGCCCTTTAACCTGTGACCAACGGGAGTGGATCATGTTAGTTTGCTGTCACTCTGTGAGGTGTTTGCTCTTCCTAAAACAATCTCTGAGTTCAGTTTTACACTGCATAGAGATGGCCAAACGCAAGACCCATATCTGGTGCAGCTGTGAACCAGCCCTGAGCTGAAACTGCTCTAACATTTCATTGAAAACGGTGTCTCTTTTGTTTGTTAGGCGGGGTCTGCAGACCTTTTCTATGGAAGGTAGGCAGTAACTACTTTATATTTTGAGCTGTATGGCGTCTGACATCCCAGGTCTCCTGTTTACATGAAGGCAGCCTGGACTTTCGAGCAAGTGGGCATGCTGTGTTCCAATAGAGCTACCTGTGAAAGTAGAATGTGATGTTTCATGTGTCACCAAATGTTATTCTTGTTTTGATTTTCTTCTTTCAACCATTTGAAGATTCAGACAGGTCCTCAGTGTGCAGACCGTAGAACAGGCTCCTGAACCGGGGGTATCTTCCTTGCCAGGGCGCACATCGCCATCTCCTGAGGCGCTGCTCACCTCCCTCCTCAGCCCCAAGATTGGGCCTCGGCTCTGCACGCTGCACCTGCCCAAGCTGAGCCCAGGGCCACTCTCACTTCCTGTCCAGAGCTCCAGGGCTGCATCGATGGCAGGAGTTGGTCCTGTTCCTGTCACAGGCAGAGCTTGGACAAGGGGGACTGCAGAGAGGGGAAATGGCTGGGCCTGGTTTCCACAAAGGATTTTTTCTGAAGACCCGAAATCAGTACCCAGAGGAATTTTAGGAGAGGAGAGAAAACAAAACTCCTTCAATCCTGGAGACATTTTCAAACACCACAAAAACTCGACTGCACAGTCAGTGGGGTGGGGGCTTGGGTTTGGTCTGGGTGGATGAAGTGCCCTCTCCAGGGCAGCAGGCTAGAGACTGGGGTCCAGGGGGGCTGGAGGCCTGCCGGCCGCACCTATGAGGAGCCCCCAACTGCTGCCACAGGCATGAGTAGAACTTGGAAGACGTGCACATCGGATCCCTTTGCACATTGACGGCTGTTTCCCACACCTGCCTAACAGGTCATGCTTCTGGCACCATCTGGAAACACAGGTTGGTCGAGGAGGCAGTTTTCCCTGATGTGTTTTGCGAGTGAAAGGCCACAGGGCTGGTGCTCAGCTAGTCTGAAAGCGAGGGGTCCTGCTCCCCAGGAGCGTTGCTGGCGGCGGCTCCGGATCCAAACCTGCCATTTACACCCCAGCTCACATGGAGTTGGTTGCCTTTTGGAGGCAGTAGCTACCTGCTAGACTCAAAGAGCACCTTTCTTCCAACTGGCTTGTCCACCAGGTCGTGGCCCAACACAGGGGTGTTACAGAGGGGCTGGAGCAGTAGCTGGGGTGCAGAGTGAGCAGCACTCTGTGGCCACAGTGTCCTAACCTCTCCAGTCCAACCCAGAATCAGGGAGTGCCTGAGCCTGCAGCCTCCCTCGCTTTGTATGCTTGCTGGAGTGTGGGCGTCATGAGCAAGGACACTATCACATCTGTCCAAGCCTGCTCTAACCTTTGGGTCCTGCAGGGCATGAGCTCTGCCCTCCTGGTACCACACCCTGGCCCGAGGCTGTTCACTGCTCCACCTCTGCCTGCCTGCTTAGCTCTCCCTGTCACAGTGCCCAGCACAGGCACGTCAGCATGGGTCAGGATCCCCATCACCCACCCTCACTGTCAACGGACCTCACAGCATGGGCGGGGTCTCCCCATCACCCACCCTCACTGTCCACGGACCTCACAGCATGGGTGGTGTCTCCCCATCACCTGGCCGGGCTGCAAACTGCACAGGTGAGCAGACAGGTGTGTAATTTTCCTCTGGCAACCTCAACAAAGCACCACAAACTTCTTGAAACAATAGAATTTATGCTCTCGCAGTTCTGGAGGGTGGAATTCTGAAATCAGAATTCTCTCAGAAGCTCAGGGGAGACTCCTTCCTGCCTCTCCACGGTCTCGTGGCCTGAGGCTGCCCATCTCCATCTCCACTGCGTCTTTCCGTTGCCTCCTGCTCCTCTCTGTGTTTGCCTCAAAGTTCTTCTGCTTCTCTCCTCTAGAGACCCTTGTCAGTGGATTTGGTGCTCACCAGATGATCCTGCATTATCTACCCATCTCAGGATCCTTAACCCAACTGCATCTGCAGAGACACTTTTTCCAAGGAAGGTCACATTTACAGGTTCCTGGAATTAGGACTTGGACCTATCTTTTGTGGGGCAACAATTCAGCATATTTATAGTCTGTCCTTTATTCCTCCCAAATTCATATTCATCCCCCATAAAAAATATATTCAGTTTATCCCAACATCTCCAAAAGTCTCAACTCATTACACATCACCTCTTTGTCCAAAATCTCATCTAAGGATCATTGACTCCAATCTCATCATCTGAACCACCTAAATCTGGGA